TTGTGAAATGCCCTATGTAGGACATGACTACTGTTTACATCATGTACAATTAGATTGTCATTAAAAAAAAAGGCTTGGTCTTACTATTATTGTAAAGTCTTTTATAAATTTCTTATAAAAGTTAGTAAAACTTAAGAATACTCTTACATCTTTTCTACTTTTCAGTTCTGACTATTCTTGTATTACTTTTACTTTGTATAAATTTATCTTAAAGCCTTCTAAGTTGACTACAAAGCTTAAGTAATCTAGTTCTGTTTTGTTAAAGAAGTATTTCTCTACTTTTATATAAAAGTCTGCTTTTCTAATTAAATCTAGAACTTTTCTTGTTAGTTTCTAGAGTTCTTTTTCTGTTTAAGTATAAATGATTATATTATCTAAGTAGATTAATACTCTCTTACTTATTAGTTCTTTAAAGAGCTTATTTATGACTCTCTGAAATACTGTAAGAGAATTTATTATTCCAAACTATATTACTAATAGTTTATGTACTCTATCTTTTGTTCTAAAGATAGCTTTCTATTTATTACTTAGTTTGATTCTAATATTATTATATTCTACTCTTATGTTTAAAGTTGTAAACACTTTAGTATTCTTAAAGTAATCAGGTAATGTATGTATAATAAGGATAGGAAAAGAGTCTAGTTTACAGATTTTGTTTATTTCCTTATAATTTATAACTATTTTTACTCTTATATCATTTTTACTAATAAAGAATACTAGTATAGTAATTGTTAATCTTAACCTTCTAATCTATCCTTTCTTAAGATTTTCTTTTACAAAATCTGCTACTACTTGCCTTTCTAAAAGAGTTAGTAAGTACACTTTTCTAGTTTCTAGTAAAATACTTCCTTGTTTAAATTTTATTTGTATATTCTATTTTAAACTTTTAGTTAGTCTTTTTACTTTTAATTTACTAAATCAATTTAAGTAATCCCAGATTTGTTTTAGTACTAGTTCTTTTACACTCTTCTTTAGTATATTAGTTAATCTTCTTAAAGCTCTTACTTTATTTAGAGAGTACTTTTAAGATATACTTATATATTTGTTTAATCTTAGTTTAAGTCTCTTATATTTAGTATTAGTGATTTTTCTTAAAAGTTGTTCTCTTTTATATTATAGTTTGTTTTTATTAGCTCTCTAACTATTATACTTACTTTATATTAGGACTCTTTTATGTTTCTTATTATTCTTGACAGAAACTATACTATCTAATAGTAAATTAGTTATCTTGACTCTTTTAATACTTTTTATAATTTTAAACAATACTTTAAGTTTACCTTTCTTTAGAGAGAGTCTTAGAATTAAAGTAGTACTTATACTTTCTACTCTCTTTCTCTTTTCTGTCAGTAACAGTATAGAGAGGACCTAAAGGCTTAGTAAGGGGACCTAGGCTATAACTATCCTACACAACAGAAATACAGAACACAAGTACTAGAACATAGTCAGAACTTGTAGAACAGACATAGAGAGAGAGTAAGACAAGAGTAGAGTATATAGAGTAAGTCTAAGAGTACAGGACTACTTAGGGTAGACAAGATCAAGACTATAGAACTAGTCTGATCTTGTATACTTATATATACTAAACTACACAAGAGTACTTAGAGAGTATAAGCTACTAAGAATGATGAGCTACAAAGAATGAAAGAAAGGAAGGTCAAAGATAAAAGTATAAAGAATGAAAGGATAGACAAAGAGTAAAAAACTATAAAATGAACAAAGAATGAAGGAGTAGTTAAAGGAACAGAATAATAAAGTAAGGAGGGGTAGTAGTAAGAGTTAGTACACATATAGTTTATAAACAGCACCTTTAAGGGACAGAAGTCCTAAGTTCTAGTATAGAAGAGTGTAGAACCCTTAGAACTGAAAGTGTAAGAGTAGAGAACTATAACATTACTCTCCCTCTAAAACTAATCATCCTGATTGGTAAACATTAGACTTAGTTAGTAGCTTAGACATAAGTCAGAATAGTAGGGCTTAGAAATCTGTAAGACTGAGTTTGTACAGAGTACTAGGATAAAGCTAATAGAAGTCTTAAATTACTTTAGAAGTATGAGTAAAGTTCTTAGCAGGTTCCTAAGTGTACTCTTTAACTAGGTACCCTTTCTAGTAAACAAGGAACTTGAGTTTTCTGTATACTAGCTTAGTATCTACTATATACTCTACTTTATATTCTAGTTTAGAACTAATAAGTTCTGGTAGAGGTAGTAAGGGTTTTTGTTGTGAAGGAAAACCTGAATTATAGTACTAAGACAATAGAACCTTGTTAAACACTGAGTGTATACACTTTTATATTACTAAAAGCTAGAGTTTGTAAACAGAGGTACTAACCTTCTTTTTAATAATAAAGGGTCTAAAGCACTTGTTGTCCAACTTCTTTATTAAGTGATTCATAGTTAGATTAGTAGCTTCTAGAATAACTTTGTTACTAAGCTAGTAATCCTTAACTATAGACCTCTTCTAATTATAGTTCTACTTTATAACTTATGTTACTTTCTCTAAAAGAGCTTGTATATTCTTCCTAGTCTTGTGTATCTGTTCTGTAAAGTCTGTTACAGATTCAGAACTGTTGTTCTGGTTCAGAACTGTCCTCTAGTATGAATGTCTCTCATAGTTGAGGAAGAACAGAGACTGTCCTATTATAGAGTGTTATTAGTTATTGTACACAAATTCTACTAGAGCTAACTATTTAAACTAGTCTGACTGTTAATGATTAATGAACATTCAGAGATAGAGCTTAATCTCCTAATTAACTTACTCTGTTTAACTATCAGTCTGTAAGTAATATATAGTAAAAGGGTTCTCTTAAATTCTAAAAAGTATATACAAGTCCTATATGAATTTTAACTTGAATTATAGTCTATAATTGTGAATAAGCTTCTGAGAGAGTCTGTACAACTGGAAGACATAATTCTAATAAATGTATACTATACCTTTAGAAGTGAGTTCTGTTTAGGTCAGAACTGTATAAACTTGTTTAAAGAATCAGTTGATAATTATACAAATAGTATTGTAACCCTAAGACTTAGGTAGCTTACTAATCAGGTCTACTAAGACTTCTTCTTAAGAGTAATCTAGAATCTAATACAGATGTAGAGGAGTCTAAACCCTTGTCTAGTAGGCCTTAGTCTGTTAGTATATATTGTAACTAGTTACATACTTTAGGATTTCCCTCTACATTTCTAGCTACTAATAGTCCCAAGTAATAAGTTTCTACATTTTGTGTTAGCCTAAATGTTCTACAGTTAGATTGTTATAATAAGCTTAAACAATGTTCTTCTACAGTTTCTAATCCTTCAGAATGTATAGTCAGTCTTCCTAGTAAACCTATCTATCCTTATCCTCCTCCTAGTCTCTAGTCTGCTTCTCTAACTACTTTACTATAATTTAGTCCTGTGTGTGTCTTAAGACTTACTATATATAAGTGATAAAGTTGACATTCTTAGATTTAAGTCAGATCTCTTATATTGTCTCAGATGTAAAACAGGAATTGTTTAGAAGAACAAGATTTTTGTTATTATTCTCTCCTCTTTTATAACCTACTCATCTTAAGAGTAAATTAGTTTTTATTATTTGTATTCTAGGTTTGTAAGTTAGTACAAAGT